TGACGTGTTTTCTAAATTTTGAAATGATGTATTTATAGGCCATATATGTGTTGTTTCACAAGGTTGTGACCCTTAATGACACAACACCCTTTAACCAAAATTTGCATTGTTTCTAAGCATTACCTATGTTCATTCTGCAGCAACACTTCACGAAGTGTTCCTTTTCTTCGAATTCAAAATTAATCTTCACTTGCATATTTTCTTGTCATTTTGGAACACACTCTAGATTATTAATTCTTAATAATTTACAACAATATTCCACTTGTTCTAATAATGACAAGACCAATTTCAGAAAAAGAGAAATAAAGAATGTTAATACAGTTAAGTATCTTTCAATTTGAACTTATCCTTAGTAAGAATAATGCAAAATTTAATCGGAATGTTAGGTAGCAATGCTTTGAAATGTTATCCCTTGTGACTAAACCGACATTATCTTACACACACTCATTAGTGGTTCTTCACCTTCATCTCTCGCCTAGCACTATTTATGGCCATGTGCTTTTTCTGTTTTCGTGAATTTTTTCATGAGAGAAACTCAAACTCTCCCTTTGAGACGAAACCATCTCAAAATTCACATAGGTAAAGTTCATATTATATCATTTTCCATGAGACACATACCCTCAGTATTGAACTTTATTAAGAGTTTAAATAAAACTCAACCCTCATTTTAAAGGTCAACATTATCACGAAATATTTGACAAACATCCAAATCAACGACTTGTTGTTACATATTGAATCTTGAGTTTAATGTTCTATTAACATAAGATTGAGTTGCCGTCGTTGCCGGAACTCTTACTCAAGGAGTTTCAACCCATGTCTCTCGAGGTTATTTTTTACTAAGTTTCTGACCAGTGGCTTATTAAATGGATCAAGAAAATTATAGCTCGATCGTATTTATATGAATGATTACATCCTTAATCAATTTTCTCATGAAAGAATGTCTAAGTCCTACTTTTCTAGACTTTATGTTATAAACTTTTTGTATGCTCTAGTTAAAGTGGTTTGACTATCGCAATGTATCAACACCTTTGAAACATTTTCTTTAGCCAATGGAACTTCCAACAGAAGGTCCCTTAACCATTCAACTTCTTCACTAGTGGAAGTAAGAGTCTCGAACTCTGATTCTATGGTTAATAGAGTGATCCACATTTGTTTCTTACTCTTCCAAAAAATTGCACTCCGGCTAGTGTAAGTATCCATCCAAATGCAAATTAATAATATTCAACACTTAATATCCAACACGCATCGGCACGTCTTTCTAATATGGCAGGAAATCTACCATAATGAAGATTAATAGTTTTTATTTTCATAAGATTTCTGAAAATCCTAATGATGGCCTTCCAGTGCTCATCATTTGGATTTCTAGTCAAATCTACGCATTTTACTAATTGCAAATGATATTTCGGTTCTAGTACATTGCATACACTTGCATATTCCAACTAAGCCACAACTCTTCCATCATTTTTTTAAAGTTTGATACTAGAATCAAATAGAGCGTTTACTTCCTTAAAGTGTAAGTGTTTGAACTTATCAAGTACTTTCTCAACATAATATGTTTAACTAAATTCATAACCCCCACTGTTTCGCTTTGCTTTGATCCTCAAAAGTGTGTAAACTAATCCAAGATCATTCATCTTAAATGTGAAGTTAGAAACCTCTTTGTTTCTAAAATTCCATTCATCTTGTTGCTAATGATCAAATATAATCAACATGAAGACAAATGAATATTACAATATTCTCACATAACTTTGTGTAAAAACACTTGTAACAAGAATTAGATGAAAAAGATTTTTAGATAATCATGCATGATGATACAAAAAGTTTTTTTTAGATGAAGTGAGAGACGAAATTTTGAGCAATTTAAAGTGATATAGTATGAACTGCAATGAGTACCTTAGTTACTTGTCTCAAATTTTCACTTGAATTTCTATGTTAAATCTTCTTGATCGACTTCATCATTGACGTACATGACACTTTTGATCCTTTCTTCTTTGATAATCTTTGTCTTCATCAAAATTGAACTCGATATAGGATATATTCTTCACAATTTCCCCTTTTGATGATGACAAACTCTTTGACTTTGTTTTTGACAATAATTGAAAAGTTTCCCTTTAAGTTGTGTGTCTCCCCTTAATTGGCGAATCTTACAATGACAAAGTCAAACTTTTGATGTCATTGTTTCGGTGCTTGTTTTAATCCATACAAGGATTTGACAAGTTTGCACGCCTTTTGTAATTACCAAGAAATACATAACCTTTTGGTTTCTCCTTATAAATCTCCTCATCGAGACCTTTATTTAGGAATGTCATTTTGACATCCATTTGATGAACTATAAGGTCATGTAAAGAAACTAATGCAAACAATACTTTAATTGTCGTTGTCCTTGCTACTAGTGCATATGTGTCGAAATAATCAACACCTTTATTTTTTCTAAAACTCTTGGTTACAAATCTATACATGTAGGTGTTTAGTGTACCATCATTATGATACTTCCTTCTAAACACCACTTGTATTTAATTGGTCTTGATTTTTTAGTTAGATCGACAAGTTCCCAAGTGTGGTTTAACATTATTGAATCCATTTCATCTTGGATAACATCCTTCTAAAACGAGGAGTCCCTTGAAGCCACTTCTTCTTTAAATACACCAACAACTATAGTGAACTTTGAATCAAACCAATCCAAAGGATCTTTCTCCAACAAATAGAAAATATAAACTTTTTATTTGCAAATACTTTTAGAAAGTACACACATTTCCTTTATAAATTAAGTCACCACACACTTGGTGATCAATTACAATACTTGAACAAATTTGAATATATAAAGTTGCTCTTAAATCAATTTCAATAGACAATTGATCTTCTCTTTCAATTTGCAATTCAATAATATATGAACCTTAAGTGCTCAAAAAATACTAGGAAACTTTTATGAATGATTTTAAAGTTATGCACGGAGTTTCAACATTTTTTTAAAATAATGAACACTTAGAAAATTATTTTAATTGATGTGTAAAATTAATAATGAAAGAGGTAATTTAAGAATTAATTTATTTTACCTTAAATACATCCTAAAAAATCTCTATGAATTGATTCAAAAGTTTGAGACATTTTCACGAAGGTTTGCAATAGTTTAGAAAGACAATGATTCATAAAAAGACATAATTTTGAATTTTGTCCATAACTTATTAAATCAGTTTAACGAATACCTGACTTAGGACTGGAAATGAGTCGAGTCGAGTCGAACTCGCCTCAGCTCGGCTCGACTCGTTAAGAATTGGTTCAGCTCAAATCCCGGTTCGAGTTCGACACGAACTTTTTTTAAGCTCAAACTTGACTCATTATAAGTTAACGAACAGTTTGGTTCAACTTGTTAGGTTTATCTCATTAGGTTCAACTCACTTGGTTCATGGACTTAAAAGCTATTTTTTTAAGTCTGTTGTTTATATATATATATATATATATATATATATATATATATATATATATATATATATATATATATATATATATATATATATATATATATATATATATATATATATATATATATATATATATATATATATATATATATATATATATATATATATTTGACATTTTAAATTAATATTTTTAAAAAAAGAAAATATTAAAATAAAATAAAAGTTATCTAATTGAAATTTAACTTTATCTCGAAAATCTACTAATTCAAAAACTATACAATTTTCAAGAGATACATTTGAAAGTCTAATTCAAAAACAACTCAATTGAAGTTTAAATTTGTCTCAAAAATCCACAACTTCGTCTAAATATTTAGGAAACATACATTTTTCATGAAATAGTACACCAAAAATTACTAGAAATTGATACACTTCCGTCACAGAATGATTACACTACACCACTTGCAATCTTCATTAGACATATTATTTTAGCAAATGTCATTATGCCTCAAACAAGGATGACTTTAAATTCAATTGTCGGTTTTACTATCATAACTAGTACATAAGGTACATATTTAGGATTAAGATTTGGAGAAAATATTTAAACTTAATCTTAAAGACAATATAATCCTTCTCATATGTAATCGAGTTTACTCATGAACCTAACGAGTCGAACTATGTATAGTTCAAGTTCAGCTCATTTAGTTAACAAACTTACTTTTTTGCTCATACTCGGCTCATTTGGTTCATGAACCTAGTTCAACGATTTAATTGACGAATCGAATTTCGAACTATTTTCGAATTGGTTTGGTTCATTGTCTAAAAATCTCCGTTTTAAAAGAAAATTTTCTGCAATTATAATGAATTCAATTAAGTTCCACTACCATGTACGATTTCAATTATATTAAGGCATTGGAAAATATAATTTCATTAGAATTTAATATAGCATAATTTTTTTTTTCAAATTTTTTTAATCCTTACAAGTAATAGTACATACTACTGTTTTACATTGATAATTATGTTTAACGTTAGGAATGTATGAACTTAATTTTGTACAATTACTGTTTTAATTATATACATATTCATTTATATCCATTAATTATTACCATAAAATTAAAATATTGGTAACCATTGATATTAATTGTTTTCAAATTTTGTATTTGGATATTCGATAATATTATCTTAACATCAAAATCAACGGTTGTAACTTAAAATCAAAATGTAAAATAAATAAAAAAAAGAAAAAAAATGTAACCCCTTTTCTTCAACCTGGAAGTCTGAAACAGAGTCCTCGAAATAGCGCCGCCGCACCGCCGCCGCACCTCCCTAATGCCCAATCACACCGCCGTCGCACCTCCCTAATGCCCAATCACACCGCCGTCTTCAAACTCTGCCGATGAGCAGAGTCTCAGGTGATTCTCTTCTTTTCCATTCCTATGAAATTCCTAAGAGTAGAGATAAATAGGATTGATACTCTTTTGAATTTTGTTACTATTATTTTTCTATTTTCTATGAATGTTATTAGTTTATGGCTACACAAGTTGAGTTTACTCTATTATTTTATGTGTCATTTTTATAGAAAACATGAATTTGTCGACAATTCCAAAAGTTGAAGGTGTAGTAGAGAAATGTGTAAATGAAAATATAGTTCAACATGGGGAAGGGAAAGAGTGTGTTGTTGATTATACACCACATTTAGAAATGGAGTTTGAATCCGAGGTATCGGCGTATGAATTTTATAACGAGTATGGTAGGATAACTGGATTTGGTATTCGTCGAGAATATGTAAATAAAAGTAGAAAAGATGGAACTTTGACTTCGAGAAGATTTACGTGCTTTAAAGAGGGTAAACGGAGTGTTGACAAACAGAGTAACTTGGTAAAAGAGGGTAGAGTAGAGACTAGAACGGGATGTCACGCTCGTATGGTTATTTCACTTGATCGAAAGATTGGGAAATATAAGGTTGTTGATTTTGTAGCTCAACATAATCATGCTCTTCTACCGCCGGGGTATGTTAATATGATTCGCTCCCATCGACGCGTATCTGAGTCACAAACATCTCAAATTGCAATGGGTGATGATGAATCTAGATTAAAACAAAAAGGTTTTCGGAAACAAGTTTCGGATGAAGTTAATGAAATGGATGGTATTGGTTATACAAGACAAGAAAGGAAGAATTATCTTCCGACTAGAAGGATGCAATCCCTAATGTATGGTGAAGTGGGTGATTTGTTGATGCATTTTAAACGTCAGAATGAAAATCCTTCGTTCTTTTATGATTTTCAATTAGATGTTGAAGAGCAAATAACAAATATATTTTGGGCGGATGCACAAATGATAAATGACTATGGATGCTTTGGTGATGTCGTTAGTTTTGACACAACATACAAGACAGATAAGGATTACCGGCCGTTGGGAGTATTTGTCGGGCTAAATAATCACAAGCAAATGGTTGTTTTTGGTGCAACGTTGTTATATGATGAAACAATTCCTTCTTTTCAATGGTTATTTGAAACTTTTCTCCAAGCAATGGGTGGAGAAAACCCTAAAACCATTTTAACTGATCAAGATGCCGCAATGGCCACAGCTATTTCTTTAGTTATGCCAGAAACATTTCATGGATTGTGCACTTGGCAGATAAGAGCAGATGCCATGAAGCATGTGAACCATCTCTATCAAAAGGGTTCACAATTTTGCTCGGATTTTGAAGCATGCATTGACCTACATGAAGAGGAATGTGAGTTTTTGAACGCGTGGAATGTTTTACTTGCTGAACATAATGTTTATAAAGATTCATGGCTTCATACAATTTTTCAACTGAAGGAAAAATGGGCATGGACGTATGTTAGAAAAAAATTCACAGCAGGTATGCGTTCTATTCAATTAAGTGAGAGTTTTAGTTATGAGTTGAAAAATCATTTGAAGGCAGATTTAAATTTAGTACAATTTTTCACACACTTTGAAAGAGCTGTCAGTAAACAACGGAACGATGAGTCAGAAACCGATTACAAGTCAAGACACGAGTTGCCTAAATTGAAAATGAAAAGGGCTCCTATGCTTGTACAAGCTGGAAGCATTTACACTCCAGCAATCTTTGAAGAATTTCAAGAAGAGTATGAAGAATATCTAGGCACTTGCGTAAAGAATTTGGATGAAGGGTTGTATGTTGTTACAAACTATGATAATAGTAAGGAGCGGATGGTAATAGGGAATCTCGAGGATCAAAAGGTTGTCTGTGAGTGTTATAAATTTGAGACGTATGGTATCTTATGCAGTCATGCTATAAAAGTTTTAGATGTTATGAATATTAAGTTAATTCCTCAACACTATATACTGAAGCGATGGACAAGAGATGCAAGGTTAGGAAGTAATCAAGGTTTAAAAGGGCAACATATCGAATTGGATATAAAAGCCCATTTCATGGAGCGATACAATGAGTTATGTCCTCGAATGGTTAAATTGATCAACAAAGCATCAGAATCTCATGAAACTTACACGTTTTTGTCCAAAGTTTATGAAGAGTCTGAGAAAACAATTAATGATATGTTGGCTAAAAGGTTTGTGGGTGGAGAATCACTTGAAGCGCGACATGCATCCATATCCATTGGCAATGAAAAAATTGACAACAAGGTGGAAACTGTTGATGCTGATGGAGAAAAGAGTATAAAGAAGCTAAGATTGCTCAAGTAACGCCAAGAAACAGTGTTGGACATAATTGAATTGTTCCAGTATCCTTTACTCAGATCACAACATCCAGAAGTGAAGTTTGCAATGCGTTACATTGCACATCTTTCAGGGTTGCGAAATCGAGGTGATGTTCTTGTATTGATGCGCATTTCTGATCTTTATTACCTAAAATGCTTAAAAGGAAAGTGTCTTCCGCGTCACATTTCTCTTAAAACCTTGAGATTTCAGATTGTCGCCATGAATCTTTACCAGAAAAAGGACTGTCTACCTCTCTTTCAGTACTGACCGTTAAGTGCTGCCTTCTACTGCAAGCAAGCTCTCAGAACAATGGAGGGAAAGAGTGGCATAAGATTGCACATATGAATCATCAGGTGAGTTGCCTGAAATGATGTTTCATGTTTGCTTTGTTCCATTACATTATATTTTGTTTGCTTTGTCTCTCAACCTTTCTTTGCTTACCAAGTTTTACTGATTTCGTGAGCTTTTTGTTTATCTTGGCAAATTTATCTCAATTTCTTTGTTAAACCAATTTTCTAATGTCTTTAAAAAGTTCGAGGTAGTCGAAAAAATTATCATAAAGTTGATATTTTGAGGATTGATATTAGAAGATGATGCGACTATAAGGAACATGTATAAGTTCTTTGTGTTATTGCTTCTAACTTCTGAATGTATTTTTTACTTTTTCTTTGCGAGAGACAAAAGTGATTCTGGAAACATTAAGTTGATTTTGAAATGTTTTGGTGTTCTTTAGCAGTATAATTGCTTTTACTTTTAGAAACCATTCCAACTTAAAAAGTTTAGATTTTAAGCTTTTGCCTTCAAACATGATTTTTAGTCTTATATTTATAGTTAAACACACTTTTATGTAAATGCATTTAAATATAAATTATTTTACCTTCAATTCAACTTAAATTAAAATCAATTTTTACCAAACAGCCAAGAAAGAAGCCAGCTATGATTGGTCTCAAGTCATGGAAATGTAGATTGCTGCCAAAGATGAATGGGAGGTTGAAGAAGTTGGTTCAGTCTTGGCTCATCAATTTCATGTTTGATAATTTGATGACTCATTTCATGAAATGCAAAATGTATAGGTTTTATTTGGAGTAGAAATGAAAATTAAATAGATTATTTAGATGATTAAGTTTATTACAATTAATAGTATTTGTTGAACTTCATTGTCGTTTTAAACTTTTTTTTTTCAGTAGTGTTGTGACTTTAATATAGTTTCTCATCATTAATTATCCAGCTTAGACTATATTTATTTGGATAACTCGACACAAAATTATTATTCTAGATTTGCCGGTGGATTGAGTTTGAAAAAAAAATGAATTACTTATTTTAGAACTTTTAAGGACAATGATCAAATGAACATGATGACAATGATAGAGAAGAAAATGAGAATTAATTAGATTAATTAGATGTTTAAGTATATTATAATTAATAATATTTAGTTGACCTTTTAGTGTGTAGATTTTTTGTTTCATTATCTATTAGTAATTTTTTATAATGCAATGACTTTGGCACATTTGAATGATACCAAAAAATGAATGAAAAATGTATTTTATTTTATTAGTTAGTTTTTATCATCTTTATCCTTCCCTTAGAATATTATGTTTTTTAGTTTTTTTTTTTTTTTTACAAATCGTGACTAGTTAAATATTAGGATATATTTACACCCTTTTCAGAACTTAAACTCTAGAGTCTATTTTTAATATTTTAGAGTCTATCGATTGGTTCGGTTCTCTGCAGAGATTGTTCTATTTGAAGCCATTAAGATGAGAATATTCTCCCAAATGTATTTTGAAGTTGTGAACAAACTTTGTAGATCTATGTGCTAGTTGGTATAATGTCTATAGCAATCAGATATAAGGTTGTCAAAATCAAGTTTTTTCTTTGATTCGTTTTGTCTAGATAAAATTGAAAGTTACAATTGTAAAGTTTATCTCATATTAAAATATTACAAAGATGTGTTCACAAAAACACAAAAGTACCACAATATACAAAGAAAAAGAAGAAAGCTCACAAAATATTATTGTTGAAATTCTAGTTCGGCGTCGTACAAGTGAAGTGACATTAAGTTTCAAAAGTTTTTAGTTTTTATTACTCTCGTAAATGAAAAGTCTAATGTATAATGATAAAATAGGTTATTTAAAGTGAATAAAATAATAAAGTACGAGAAGTTTTATTGGACTGAACTTTTTAAAATTTCAAGAAAAAAAAGGTAAAATCAAGTTAAAGAGTAAAACTCAAAGATTTTACACAATTTTACAGATTTCAAAGAGATTAAAATCGTTCCAGTGTACGATTTTACTTTAAAACGATTTTACCAGCGATTTAACACCGGATGCTGACCAAGAAACGTAAAATCTAAGAGTTTAGGTTTTAAATCACGATTTTAACAACCTTGCAGATGATCTCGATGGTTCAATGATGACAACACTATAAGGTGAAGTCTTTATTTGAAATTACGATCAAGTTGTTATGCTTGGCAGATTAAAATGTTAAATTCAATCTCTTAAGGACAACACTTAATGTCAAGCGACGTTCGGTGGAATTCTTGATGATCTTTAGTTAAGCAATCTCTCTGATGATGGTGTCTATCAAGAGGTTTTATCAAATCTCATGAGAAAAAAGAAGTCAAGTCTTAGATGAAATGTTGAATCATTAATGAATCAAACAAGTAATCTTGAAGCTTTAGAGATTGCGAAAGAGAGGAAGTGTCAAAACTCGCATGGTTAGTGTTTGAGTGATCAGATCTTGTAAAAGATATTAGTGTAATTCTTAAATTATTGTGGAACTACACACATTCATCTAAAAGTGTTTTTAACCTCTCTATTTGATTAAACACCTTAAAACCTTTAAAAGAAACCATTAAAGTGCTTGTGGGATTGATCAAAAGTGTTCCACATAGAAGATATGGATCATTAAAAAAAGATAAAGAAAAGCCAAGATCAGCAAAGAGTTATACATACCGACGTATGAGACCCTTGAAATTTAATGAGGGGGGCCACGTGCTCTTGAAGGTTACTCCCAAACTAGGGTTGAAAGGAGCATTCATAATGAAGAAGTTGAATCTGAGATAAATTGGTCTTTTCCATATCGTATGTCAGGTATGTGAATTGGCATATCAATTGACGTTGCCACCTTTTATATCCGGACTACATGATGTATTTCATGTATCTCAACTTCGGAAATTTATACCAGATCTATTTCAGCATATCCTTCTAGATACAGTTGAAGTTAGATTAGATCTCACTTTCCAACCGCAACTCAGCCGAATAGTAGGTCATGCGGTGAAGTTCCTAAGGAACAAAAAAATACCATTAGTGAAGATGACATGGGAAGAATATCACCTTGGAGAATCTATGTGGGAATTGGAAGTAGAGATGCAAGCCAGCTATTTGCACCTCTTCAGGTAAACTTTTAAATTTTAAGGACGAAATTTAAATTAAGGGGGGGAGTGTAATATACAGTGTTAAAAATGTAAAATCTTGACTTTAAGATGAGCTGTATTTGAAAACCACCTATTGGTATTCAAATATCAGTGTTAAAATGTAAAATTTTGACTTCTGGATGAGCTGTATTCGAATACTACCAATTGGTATTCGAATACTAATGTTAAAAATGAAAGGCATATTTGAAAATATCATAACTTGAGTTTAGTAGCTTTGATTTAGGTGGGATCAAAGTAATTTGTAGATCTATCTTGTGGTAAATTTTCATAACACTTGCATATTTGTGTGATGTTTTGATTAATGAATAATAGTGGGGTAAAGTTGGAACCATAAGTTAGAGCACAAACTTAAGTCAAACCAATATTGAATCTTGGAAACATACATGTATCACAAGATAGTGAACACTCAATGATGTTGATTATAAAAGGAGTCAATTGAGATACATGTGAGAAATGTTGAGACTCCATGCACATACTAGAGTGTAACTCGTAATTAGGAGAGTAAGTCTACCAAGGTGGTAAGTCGCGTCATCAAAACCGGCCTTGACAGAAAGCGTTAGTAGGAAGTCACATATTTCAAAAAAATAGGATTGATATGAGAAGTGCTAGTTAGAAGTTAACATTATGTGTGGCTAACCATCTTTTGAAGTGTACATGGTATGTTAGAGCGAGTGTATCGACATTCCTACATTGTATGAGGTTGATTATGCCTCGTTAAGGTCCTTAGCCAATCAATTAGAGCAAGACATAAAGCTTCTTAATCAATAAAGAACACTCCTAATCGATTAAGACACTAGATGTTATAGGTTTTCCTTTTTTTAGAATTAGGGTTGTCGTTTTTGTGAAGCACATAATCGATTATGAACTTTAAAAGACTCATGCATAGTTTTTCTTTTGAGCCATATTTTTCACCTATAAATAGAGGGTTTATCCTCATTTTCAAACACACTAGAAAACATATTTCATATACTTTCTCACTTTTTACTCTTATCTTGCTCATTTCTTTCTTTTTCACTAAATTACCTTAGTGCTTTAAGAGTGAAAAATATCAATGAATCATTTCTTGTGTGTTATGTTGCTTAAGGAATTATTGCAATTTGTGCAAGAGGAATTTATATCTTGTGTTTTCGCACATAATGGCAATACGTCGCAAGTTTATATCAAAATCAAGTAATTGTTGCTTGAGCCACAAGATTTGGGCACAACAACTATCGGTCGCAACATATTCCGCCTCAGCGGTTGACAAAGTAACAAAGCTTACTTCTTTCTATGCCAACTTACTAAGGCATTTGAAAACATGTGGCAAGTTTCACTAGTGATTTTCCTATCCGATTTGCAACCGGCAAAATCAGAGTCGGTGTATCCAACCAAGTTACAATAGCTTGCTTTAGAATACCAAAGCCCATGTTGAGAAGTACCCTGAAGATACCTAAGAATACACTTGACGGATTTTATGTGAGATTCTTTAGAAGCCGATTGATAACAGGCACACATCATACGCTAAACATGATATCTAGTCTAGATGCAGTAAGATGTATAAGAAAGTTGATAATACCTCTATATTTCTTCACATATACATCCTTACCATTTGAGTCATTTTCCAAATTACCATTTCTGGCCATAGGTGTAATGATAGACTTTGCATCTTCCATCCTAAAGCGCTTTAGCAGTTCTTTGCAATACTTCGTTTGACACACAAATGTACCCTCTTTTAATTGCTTGATTTGAAGCCTAAGGAAGTAATTCAACTCCACTCATCTCAAACTCTCCCTGCATAAGCTTAGAGAACTCTTCTACAAGTTGCATATTAGTTTATCCAAATATAATATCATCAACGTAAACTTGAACTAGAAAGGTGCGCTTCCCTTGGCGCTTAATGAATAGAGTAGTATCTACTTTTCCCCTTGAGTATCCTTAGTCAATTAAAAATTTTCTAAGCCGCTCATACCAAGCCCTAAGGGATTGTTTGAGACCATACAAAGCTCTTTTAAGCTTGTACACATGGTTTGGATACTCATGACTTTCAAACTCGGGGAGTTGAGCTACATACACTTCTTCATTAATAAAGCCATTTAGAAACACTTTTCACATCCATTTGATATAACTTGAAACTCTTGGCACAAGCATAAGCTAACAGAAGACGTATAGCCTCAAGTCGAGCCACTAGAGCATAAGTTTCCTCATAATCGATGCACTCCTCTTGGTTATATCCTTGCGCTACTAGCCATGCCTTATTGCGGGTTATCACCCCGTTTTCATCAAGTTTGTTCCTAAAAACCCACCGGGTGCCGATTACTTGATGATCTTTAGGATGAGGGACAAGGTCCCAAACTTCGTTTCTTTTAAATTGATTTAGTTTATCTTGCATGGCCATAAGTCAATGCTCATCAAGCAATGCATCTTTAGCATTTTTAGGCTCTACTTGAGACACAAACACAAAGTGATAATATAAATTACTTATCTTAGAGCGAGTAGTTACTCCCTTTGTGATGTCTCCAAGTATGTTGTCTATAGGGTGATCCTTTGATGTCTTCCAAGTCAAAGGTAGACCTTCCGCTGCAGCAAGATTTTCTCCATTTTCCTCTTCATTATTGTCATCTTCTTTCTTTTCATCATCCACCACTTTAGGTTGACCAATTCCTAGTTTGGTTTC